CGCGGGCGGCAGCGGCGGCGCAGAGGCGGACGCACGCGGGTGCGCGTGGTGCCCGTGGTGCCGGTGGTTGCTGTGGCCGCCCGCGCTTGCCGGTGCGCCGGTGCGTCCGTTCTTGGGCGGCGGCTCGTCTGCTGTGGCTACCACAGCGTCAAGCAGGTTGCTCAGCAGGAAGGCGGACGAAGGCAGCGCGTCCATGCCTGCCGCCTCGGCCAGCACCACTTTCTGGTCGCACACGGGGCAGCGCAGCTTGAGCGGCTCTCCCGGAGCGCCGCCGCCCGCAGCCGGCAACCGGTGCGCCTCGAGGCAGGGGCGGCAGAAGGCGTGCAGACAGGGCAGGACGTGTAGGCGGCGCGCCGCCGCCCCAGGGCCCCCGCCGCCGCCCCCGGACGACGTGGACGTCTGCGAGGATGAGGACGACGCGGACGAGTTGGAGGAGAGCGGCGCCGGTGAGCCGCACATCTCCTTGCAAAGCAGGCAGATCTGGAAGTCGGTCTCGGGAAAAGAAGCCATTTGCAACCCGGCCCAGAGGAGGGAGGAGACCAGAGAGGAGGAGGAGAAGGAGGAGGAGGAGGAGGAGAAAGCGGACGAGGTGGGTGGGGGGAGCCACCGACTCACTCAGAAAAATGCATCGATTAGGCCTGCAATCCAGGAGCCGACACCAGACCGACACAGGCTCCTTGGCCTCACCACGTCCGGCCCGCACGTTGCCAGCCCCAATACTGCGGGCATTAAATGCCACCCTCCAGGGACGACGGATTCCTCCCGGAGGACGTGGAGGCCCGAGTACTTTCCGAAGCGGGAACGCGGAACAAGCCCCGACACGCGAAGGGCGAGCTGGGGCTTGGGAGGTCAGCGTGCTCCCTGAAGCATCTGGGGCTTCGCTTCGCGCTAACCGAGAGGAGTCCCCAAATGGAGAGTCCGCTGTGCAATCCCAGGCCCGGCGAGAGCAGAATTTGGTTCGACGAGTATTTGGTGTGTTGCTTTCCTTTAAACGGATTTAGTCTCTTGAGAGGGGAAGGCGCCCCAAACTCTTAAAGACGAAAGCAGCGCGTCGCCAAGCCTGTGTCCCCCCGCGCGACGCCGGCCGCCCCACCGCATGACGCGGCGGCCAAGGGCTCCTGGGTGGCCCGGCGTGCAGCGCTCGGGGCTCGCGCACTGCCAGGCGCAGCCTCTCCTGCAGAGCGGTGGGCCCAGCGCAGCTGCACCTCGTGCTGGCCGGGCAGCAGCCGCACGCGTGCAATACGCACGCGCGCCCCACGCGCTTCGAGTCTCCCGCGCGCCCGCCCAGCCGGCCGCGGCCGCCCGCGCTAACACGCACG